GAGATTGGTAATAGCACCGAGCTTTTGCTGTACCGTTCGTGACCTCATCTTGGGTCCAAATGGCGTTAATATAGCTGCCTAGGTACTTGAACTCCTGATCGACTTCTAGCTGATCATCACCAAGGGTCAGCGTAGGGTTGGGCCCCTACCAAACTTGGAGAAGGATTTTGCATTTTGAGGGAAAAAGCATAGCCCAAAACAATTGACAACCAGGGCTAATTTATCCAGTGCAGTTTGGCACCTTTCTGATCTGTCACAGGTGAGCGCGATGTCGTCAGCATACTCCAAGTCAAGAAGTCCCTCACCAGGAAACGGCTACACATCTTGTCGGTTGTGTCCAGCCGTGACTTCGTCAATGGCGAGGTTAAAGAGGAGAACTGACCGCGGGCAACCTTATTTCACACCGCTGGAGATATTGAAGAACGGCGACAGTTTGCTGTAGACCCTCACTCTGCCCGAACTATGCACGTATAGCGCTCTGATAACGTTTACGTATTTATCAAGCACAACTTTCCTCAGCGGACAGTCCCAAAGGGCACACCGACCCACCGAATCAAAGGCCCCTTTGATGTCTAGGAACACGGTTACGGTGGGTCGCCAATAAATATGGCGGTGCCCCAGCAACTGACGTGATGTGAAAGTGTGGTCTATGCAGCCTCGATTTCGACGAAACTCGGATTTCTCCTCGCGCATCTGACTTTCACGGATGCCAGTCAGTCTATGGAGGACGACAGACGCAAGTAACTTAGAGGCAATGGAGATCGAACTGATTCCTCTATGATTGCCGCATACCGAACGGCAGTCTGCTTTGAAAATTGAGACTATTATGGAGCGGCTCCAGTCTGTTGGGACAGTTTGATTAGTAACTCTTGCGTATCAACTACCGAATTCGCTACCTTTATGTACTCTCAAAGGTTTTCGCAGCTTCTGAGTTGACATCATGTCCGGGCTCGTGAGACAGAGAACATGTCTATTAGAAATCGCGGAGTTTTGTTTTACCTCCTCCCGTGTCACCGGAGAGATAATAGCTGTAAAAATCTTGGCGATGGATTCACGTTGACTGAACACTTTGAAAAACGACTCAACTGACGCGGCCTGTGATATTTGTTAGATAGTACAACGGATCCTAACTGCTCAGTTGTTGTGAAGTTCTCCGAGCTGGACAACTTGATTACAGACGTTTCGCCACCATTCGAGGTGGCATCTTCGGTGCGGAATTGATAGCAGCTAAGTAGCAATAACTGGTAGAAAGCAACCCCGATAATGGATACTGTCAGCAACCACTCCGTTCCTTATATAGGCATACGGAGCTAGTAATTTTGCCTCGTTCTCATTGGTGAATCATTGTGTTCGGCGGTCGTGCTCAAGTCATTTTCATTGGCTGTGGAAATGCTGTTGTGACGTGGTTGGGATTATCGCAGTCGGATTGGTGCAACTGGTGTGGGTGAGCAGTCTGGGCTCATATTGACCATGCTGTTCATTATCTCTGTGTTGGATTAGGTTCGTTCGAACAACGGTTGTGGATTCTCTTAAGCTCTCTCTGTCTCAACATTTGGTATATTGGATCGCTGTCGATATGCATGTTAATTGAGTTCGTGGTCGTGAACCAGGCTTCGAGAAACTCCCTCTCTTTTTATGTTTCTCCTTCGGTCAAGATCTCTACTTTGTTCCAGTCGAAGCTGTGTCCCTCTTCATCCACGTGTGCTGAAACCAATGAGGTTGCGTAATGTTTCTTGCACGGTCTTTGGTGTTCATGTATTCTTGTGGACAGCCTCCTTCCTGTTTGTCCCACATAGTGATTTTCACAGTTTACTCAGTTTATTCTATGTACGACATTCCGTCGTTCTAGTGTCTCTCGTTTTCCTTTTGGTTTTGACAATGTTTTCATCAGAGTGGCGGTTGGCTTGTGGGATACCATGATATGTTGTGGTTTGAACAATCTGGCAGTCATTTCAGCTATCTTCCTTATGTACGGCAGAACTATACGTTTCGTCATAGCTGACGTAGGTTCGGTTTTTGAGGGCTTGCGGTTTAAGCATTTTCGGAGGAAACTGCGTGGATATCCGTTACGTTCAAATGACTTGAATAAATGTTTTTCTTCTGCTCGTTTCGCTTCTGTCGTACTGCAGTGAGTTGCCATTCTATGGAACAGTGTCCGCACCAGCTTATTTTGTGACATCTTGGGTGGTTGCTTTTGAAATTCAAAATCTGCTCAGTGCGTGCTTTTCCTGTACACTGAGGTTTGCAATTCGCCGTCCCTTGTTCTAGCCACTAACACATCCAGGAAAGGAAGTTTGTTTTCCTTCTCTGATTCCATGGTAAACTGTATGCCGTCCGTAGCGTTGTTAAGCAGTTGTTGTGCCACCGATACTTGACTACGTTTGAGTATCACAAACGTATCATTGACATAGCGAACCCAAAGTTTCGGATTAATCCTTGGTAGTAGATCCTCTTCCAATTTTTGCATGTCAGTCTGCGATGAGTCCGGATACGGGTGATCCCATCGGTGCACCTTTCACATGTTTATACATTTTTCCGTTGAACGCAAAGTAAGTTGAGAGACATAAGTTGAGAACTTCGCATACGCTTCTGACCGTCATGTTCCCAATCTTCCCTCCGCTGTTGTCCAGATGTTCTGCGATTTCTTTGGCCAGCTGTAAGTTAACGGAAGTGAATAGGGCGGTTACATCGAAGGACACCATGGTTTCATCGTGTTCTGTTCGTAGGTCTTTGAGCTTCGTCAAGAATTGTTGGGCATTGTTTATGGAGTGTTGCGATTTACTGATTAGGTGCTTGAGGCGTCTCCATAGTTCATTTGCCAGATAGTAGGTGGGCGTGCCTGGAAGTGACAATTGCTCGTAAGGGTGCTCCATCATTTCGGATCCTAACTGCGCCGTTGATGTTGTAACCTCTACCGTCGACTCAACATGACATGGAATGACACTGCTGACCTGTAACCGGCCACGGTAGGTCAGCTGACCTTAGCTGAATTCAGACAGTTTGCTACGACATCCTAGTCATTAACAGCAATTAGGATCGCTTTTCTACGGAATCTTTTTCCTCATCGAAGAGTGTATTGACTTCTTAAATGATACTCTGCTATTAGACAGCTGAGCACAATCCTGCGCATCATCTAGTGGCGCTTCTGTTCACACCGTTGTGCTGAACGTGCATCAAGAAAACAGTCACGTGGCTCGTCCATTCGGATGCATGCTTGCAACCTGTATGCACAAGTCTCGAGTGGGCATCATTGACGAGCCTACTTTCGTCTCTTAGTCGAACTGCCTATTTAAATTTCTTTATGTTTCCTGGAACAGCAGATGACTATGTTGTTTGGCAATGAGAGCCGCGCGGAAGCTGTTTCACCGATACTGTCTTGCCTTCAAACGAAGTTCAGTTATTCGTGGCGAAATGTTATTTGTAAGGTGTGAGCGCCCTGACCCTGAATGTGTTTTCTTAGGATACTAAGTCCCCTTCTCTCTCGTCATTCTGTTTAGGTGATGATGGTTGTGCAAGAAGCAAACTACCAGTACACCTGGCTGTATGCTCCATTTGATGATGATGATGATGATCATTGACGTGCATTATTGTCCCCGGAATGATGCGTCTTATTGTGTGCGAAAGACTGTGAGTTATAGGTTCCATTGTAGTTTTTCCCCTGTGCAGCTGCTGCAGAAATATCGGTCTCCGTTCTAATGTCAAAACTAGGCACTCCTTCTGTTGCATCGTGGCTTTAATGCAATCACTAGTCCTCAGTTCCAAACGTACACATCCCACCTGAGAACGTGTCTGTTGAGCAGATTTTCTCAGGCTGACCAACCAGGATGCTCATCAAGTTTAAATCTAAGTGGCACAAAGTTATAACAATTCGTATACTACCCATTCCACATACATTTCCTACAAACATGGTAGTGTATTACCATGAAAAATTTCCATTTCTGCGTCATGTAAGTGCATGCGACTGCTTTCCCTCGCCTTGGAGATTAACTTCCTTACCGAGTGGGTCAAATTGAGTCTACTTGTTGGATTCCCGATACTTCAAGGGGCTTGAAGCAGCACAGAGTTGATCAGCGCGCACCGGTAGTTTAATCTGCGATTGCAGACTTTAATTTAAAGTGAGACTCGTAAGCTAGTATATGTATCTTTAAGGCTTTCAGCTAACTGCAAGTTTTTTCCCCAGACGAATAGAAGGCCAACATGTCATTCACATAGCGTTCAATGCAGGCAGTTTGGCTGTTTAGATAGGTGTGCGTCTTCCTGTCCTCAGCACGAAGAAATCAGCTTATTGGACAGCCCATTTCAATCCCACTGAACTGTTACACTGTGATCTGACGTTGTGTGGACTGACGTCTTTTCTGCTTGATAGTAGGGATTCAACCGCGTTTTGCAACGAACAATTGTCTTCAACTAGTTCGTACATACAATCAGCAGTTTAGCGTGGCTGAACTTGAGTGCAAAGAAATTCCACGTCTCTTGAGCACGTGGCCTTGTGAGCAACGCGTTGATGTTATCGATAACTTGTAGATCATCCTCAAGACTATGTGGATTGATCCATTGTTCAACGAAACAGTGTGTGTCAGGCAGCGATCGTCACTGGAAGAATCCGCCTAAATGGTACTCCGGTCTTTTGTGTTTTCGGCATCCCCATACAGTCCCGAAGAGACACAGCTTCTCAGATTCAGCTTTGTATGTCACTGTTTATCACGCGATAGTACGGAATAGTTTCAGGCTAATGAGCAACGCGGACTTCGACATCCTCTATGTCCCATCTTATTGAGTTGTTCACTTACTACGCGTTCCTGCGTATGACATCTTGTTATTAAACCTAGTCAGCCTTCATACGTATCACTGGTTTTATTGCACTTTCATTTTTGTACGTGGTTCACTCAGCGCTTTAACGCACCTGACTGGAGTGGCCATTTGTCGCCTTTTTCTCATAATTTCGCTGCAATGTGATACACTTTTATCCTCTTTATTCTGTCTGTTTTCTCTATTTGTAGGATTGATAAACTGGATCAAATGAAAGCGTCCGATGTGCTCTCTGAGACAGACTCTCGACAGTTGGTTTTTGACGTGGAATCCTCTTACAACGCTTTCAACGGGCTTCTTCATTCCCAGTTGTAATTCTGTCCGCTCTCCCCGTGCGTGCGCGCACGTGACCCCGACTGTTGTTAGTGTTCGACACGTTGTCCTACTCTGCCGCCTTTCCATTCGTTCCTGATGCCACCATCTTCTGTGTTGTATAACCTGCCTTCTATATGTCCGATATTTGACTAATCACGGCATCATTGGCAATTGACTTGATGTATACATACTTCCCGGTATTTCTCACCGATTCATTCGGTCGCCGTTTTATTGCTTTAATTGTCCCCGGACATCGGGGAATTTGGTTTGGAGACAAATGAAAAATGTTCTCAGTCGTGATAATCTTCCATTCAATTGTTACTGCTGGCTTCTTTTTCATTGGCATTGTCTTGATATATTAGACCGTGTATGTAACAGACACCATCATCACATTCGCATCCCCCTTTTCCTCTTGGATGAACCTTGTACACTGCCTTCCACTGTTTTATTTTGAGCATATTCGCATCACTGTTATTCAACTTGGTTCGGACTGAAACGACGACTGATTTCACATCGGGACTCCTTGGCATTGTCAATCTCCTTATTCCTCTCGATGACTGCCACGCCGTGTAGCGATTTTGCTCACATCAAACATATCATCATCATCATCATTATACACGTCAGCTAGAGGTGGAAAACACCTCAGCTATTGTGCGGCAATAGATAAAGGAAAAGGAAAATAAATACAACAGTTGCATGCCAGCTGAGCTACCAGCAACGAATAGGCATCGTCCCGGTAAGCCCCCAGCCGGCTACTAGGCAAAAAGAAAACTTATTATGTTCTACGCTACGAACTGAGATCGTAGGTGGAAGGGGTGACTAAAAGGGATGGGGAGGGACAAAGAAACTCACAGCAGGAACGCCACTGAGATCGGCTCCTTTACATGTCAGCAAATATATCCAGCTAAACGGGTTCACCGTCTTTTGGCTCCCAACCAGGGAGCCGTGATGCTCCAACCGAGGCCAGCTCAGAAGTGAGGGCCTTCATTCCAAGTCATCGCTTGGCTGCCCCTCCTCTTCTTCCATCCACATCCCAGGTGAGCAAACAACGCACGTCGTGGAAGTCGGTGGGCTGGCATGCGCAACACGTGGCCCAGCCATCGGAGCCTGGTGCGTGAAATGACGGTGCTGAGCGGTTCAGATCCTTTTTCTGTGCCGTAAAAATGGCGTCGAACACGCTCGTTACTCACGCGGTGTTCCCACCAGATGTGAGCCAAACTGCGAAGGCACCAATGGTCGAACGTAACTAGCCACTTCATGTCTGGTGATCTTAGAGGTCAGGTTTCGCAACCGTACAGTAAGGCCGAACGTACCGCTGCATTGTACACTCTACCCTTCAGGGCGAGAGTAATGTCGCGCCGCCGCCATAGGTGGCGAAGGTTAGCAAAATCACTTCGAGCTTTTGCTATACGGTTCGTGATCTCGTCTTCGATCCCAAGGGTGCTGATACAACTTCCCAGGTAGTTGAATCTTTGAACGACTTCTAGCTGATCCCCACCAAGGGTCAGCGCAGGAGGCGATCCATGTCAATCCTGGAGGAACGCTTTGCATTTCGATGGTGCAAAGCAAAGCCCGAAGCGGCTGACAGCGAGTCCTAATCTGTCCAGTGCCGATTGCCACTTCTGGTAGCTGTCACAGATGAGGGCAATGTCGTCTGCATACTCTACGTCAAGAAATCGTTCTCGTGGGAGTAGCTCCATACCTTCCAAGTCATGTCCTGTGAACGCGATTTCCATGACTTCGTCAATAGCGAAGTTGAAGAGGAAAGGTGACAACGGGCATCCTTGTCTCACACCGCTGGAGATATTGAAGGGTGGCGACAGCTTGCCGTAAGCCGTCACACTGCCCGAGCTACGCGCGTATAATGCTCGGATAATATATACATATTTATCGGGCATACCTTTCCTGAGTAGACGATTCCAAAGGGCACATCGATCAACCGAATCGAAGGCACCTTTGATGTCAAGGAACACGACTACGGTGGGCCGCCAATATGTGTGACGGTGCTCCAACAACTGATGCAAAGTGAAGATGTCGATGCAGCCACGACCCCGACGAAACTCAGCTTACTCCTTATGAATCTAGCTTTCACGAGCGCCAGTCAGCGTGAAGAATTATGGAAGCGAATAATTTGGAGGCGATGGAGATCAGACTGATTCCTCTATGTTTGCCGCATTCCGAACTCGAGCCTCTTTTGAAGATGGAAACAATAACGGAGCGGCTCCAGTCGTTTGGGACACTCTCCCGCTCCCACAGTTTCACTAGTAATTCATGTAAAGCATCAAAAGTATCAGAGCCTCCGAATTTGAAAAGTGTTGGATGCAGATCATCTGGTCCCGCGGCTTTGTTCAACTTCAACAGTCCGATCTCACGTTCGACTTCTGAGCGAGAGGGTGGATCCAAAGGGACAGCGCACGGAGCAGGGCAATCACTGGCTGGCGAATAATCGAACAATTTTAGCCGATAAAAGTGCTTTTCAAAATGCTCAGACCAAAGCTCCAAACGTTTTGACAAATTGTGGATAGACTGTCCGCTCCCGTCAAGTATAGTTTCATTAACACCAGGTCTCCTGCTGTCCGTTTCCCGTATCAGACGGAATTACTTGCGATGGTTGCCAAGGGCAGTGGCCACTTCCATCTCTGACGCATGATGGGACTACCAGGATTCGCGGTCTTTCTTCAGGCTAGCACGGAGTCTTGCCCAGAGCTCTTTGCGAGTTTCATTGTGTTCTCCTCCAGCCGGGATATGCCGGCGAGCGTCGATAAGTTCCAGAGACCGCGAAGAGATCCAATATCCATGTTGGCGATTAGACATAACACATGAGAATTTGCCTGCTGCTAGTAAGGTCTGGCGATCATGTGACCAGTGACCATCAATTGTCTCCAGTGAGTTCTTACTCAATTCGCATGTCAGCGTACTTCGATACGCATTCAAAACAGTTGGCTAGTGTCATTGCGCTCACAGCGTCGTCGTGGACATCCGCCAAAACGCATCCGCAGATCAGCACATACAAATGCATGATCGGTGTTCACACATGTGCTCCAAATCGAGCGACTGTTCTGGATGCAGCCTCTCCAGCGGTAACTGACTGCGTCCAAAGCTGGTTCGAGGCTGGTTGGCGCCAAGTCACCCTCCGGCGAGTGGTGTGTCGGAAGTTGGTACTCGCAAGAAATAAGCGGGCATCTTCATACAAATGAAGTGACGACTCACCGTTATCATTACGGGAGCCTACACCGTGCTGACCGCTCAGATGCATTTCATCAGTGGACAACTTTCCAACTTGCGCGTTCAGATTCCCAGCCAGCACAACAGTGTCCGTGCTTCTTCTGTGGCGAAGGAGCTGAGTCAGTTGGCGATCGAAGTCGTTCTTTACCGAATCATCGCTACAATTTGTGGGCGCGTAGGCAGCGATGATGAATAGATACCTATTAGTCCCGCGCGACTTCGAAGCTTTAAACGAGCCAGCCAATCGGACTGCACACATCCGGCTACTGATTGGAATCCAATCAACCAGAGCAGCTTCAGTCCGGGGACTCAGGGCTATGCCAACCGCAGCTTGGCCGGTGCTCGACGCTGCATCGTCACTGGATAGGCGCAATGGGAATGTGCTGCTGGTGTCACCTGAAGGGGATCGCAGAGTGAGCACAGAGCTCGAGTCTTGCAGGCGAGTCTCTGACAAGCAGCAGATATCGATCGAGAGGGTCTCCAATGTTCAGTCAAGTGCTGCTTGTTGACCGATCTGTAGTAATGTACGTACCTTGAGGCATGCCAAGGGCTCCAAATGGAAGCCGGTGAACTGTAATGGGCCGCTTGGTTGGACATGGGCTTGTCGACAGGAGAAGAGTGAAGCTCCGCGTTCACATGTGAGTAGAAATTAGAAGATAACTGGCTAGCAAAGCATGTTGGGGGAGGACCAAGAATCGCGGGTTGAAAACTGGGGGGATATAAGTGAAGTTGGAACGTGACGGTAAGAGTGAAAAAGCGTAAGAGGGGAAATAAGAAGACGGGAAAGCTTGAGCAGTAGCATCCAAACCCCTATTCACCTTGTTCGATGCAGCAGATAGGGCACCCGTTGATTATACTTTGCGGTGGCCAGGGCATCAAGAAATTGTTTTACGGAGGATCCATCGTCGCCTCACAATGGATGTTTGTCAAGTTCACATGTTTAGTAGTTCCTTTCCGGTAATTTGCGTCTATTTCGGACTTGCATATGCTGTTTGGTAACAGATTGTGTTGATTGCTGGCTGCCTATTCGTATGCAGAACACCGATTCTTTTGACTTCTTAGTCTGGATGCAGTAGAGTCGGATAGTAGGTTCGTTATTTTCTGCTATGTCTTGTCATTAAATCTTTTGATGTGTTCAAACTTGAGGGAAGTAGGATTGGCATTTCGCTCTGAGCCGTGGAAATTGTTGGCCGCCACTTTACACGGCATCTGCTGTATTCGACCTTCCTCAATCGATTCAATTTCGCGGCCAAAAAGACATCAACGATACACCGTACCGAAGCTTGGATGCCGCGCGACCACGACCAGCGGCGCGTTGGCTAGGTATGCTGCAGAAGGAAATCGCTCTTCTAATGCTACCATCAGCAGAGACAGCTTTCCAGGTAAACAAAGTCGTCCACTTGTTCAAGCTGCGTACCTTGAAAAGTGAGCACTGGGGGCAAGTGAATGTCAACCCAGGACTTTGTATTTCCTAGGAGCAAAGATCATGCCATATTTTGATGCTTCAATCGCTAAGCGGTTTAGAACGGTCTGTATACTCTGTGCTTCATCATCAAGTAAGGCAATATCATCAGTACAATCTAAATCGGTCACGCAGTTGCCTGGAAGAAGCTCTACACCGGGACCCTGAAAGCCCTCAACGTCGTTTAATAGGACATCGTCGATCGCAAAATTGAAGAATAACGGGGACATGGGGCTATTGACGGCAAAAGGTGAAGAGAGCTTGCCTTAAGCCCTCAATTTACCTGAGACATTGCAATATAATGCTCGATGGATGCCGATACACTTATCAGGTACTCCCTTCCTTTGTAAGCAACGCCATAAGGCTGGTCCATCGACGCAATCGAAATCGGCTCGGATGTCCGGAAAAACAACAATATTGTGCTGGCGGTAAAGATGACGCGTTTCAAGAAGTTGGCGGAGTGTAAGCAATGGTTTTTACATCCTCGGTTGGGGCGGAAACCAGCCTGTTCTTCCCCTGAGCGCAATTCTTGAGTCGAGGTTAGTCTGTGGAGTAGAATGGATGTTAACAGCTTAGAGGCAACGGACATTAGACCGATTCCTCGGTGGTTAGCGCATAGGGTACGGGCCCCTTGAAGATCGGAACGATAATTGACTTGCTCCAAGCGAATGGAACTGTTTCCTCACACCAGAACTGTTAACTGGTTGAGGATTGTTTCGCCAACGAA